AAGAGGCGACAGAGAGTATCAGTGGTAAAAAATGATGGAATGAGTACAGAGAGTAGAAAACTATCATATATAACAACAATTTCTCTTACCAACATTATCAATTACCAAGTACTTTTATATGTTTTTTCATTTGATTCTTATGGCAACCCCATGGGCAAGTAAGGGAGCTGCAGATGAGGACCTGGGACTTATCAGTGAAGTAATTTACAGAAGGTGACCCAGTTAACTCATGGAGAAGCTTGGGTTGATTTCAGGTCTTTGATTCCAAAGCCAAAGCTCTTGTAAATTTCTCATTGTTTACTTATTAATTCAGCAAATACTTTTTGACTACTTCCCATATGCAGGGAACTATTTAGTATGCTGAATGAAACCTTGACTATAAAAAAAGAGAGTAGTAACATTTTTAGGGCGTTTTGTGTGATCAGTACTATGCTTAGGGTCTGTGTACATCATTGTAAGTATCTTCACACCAATTCTGTGAGATATAATCACCCCCAGATTCCAGTGGCGCCAGCCAAGCCTGAGGGTTGTTCAGTTAGTTGGCCAAGAGCAGAGCTAGCCGTGGGAGGGCTGGGCTTTGGTTCCAGCTCAGTCCAATGCCAATGCCTGTGCTCTTAATTATGTTGCCCCTGCTAAACTCATAACTCTGTTAACAGCCATAAATCCAGCTCTGTCTGTTAGACCCAGTAAATTTCAAAGTGGAAAATCATTTTTCTAATAAAACTATGCTTAGAAAAAAAAATGATGTTAATGCTCATACATTCTACCCTCATTATGACATCAACCTCCGAGCCAAACTATTTTGCACATTATAAAGAGCTGTTTTTATGATGAATGGGGATTATATTGGCACTTTAATTGACTTAGAAACCAAGGTACATGAATGTTAGTGCACAAGAAATGCAGTAAAAAAAAAAAACTGTTCAATGTGGTTGGAATACATCAGATTAATTTAATGCCACCTTTAAATCCTTAAAATCGATACCTTTAAATATGTTTTATTAAATTGCTAGATTAAATTTTTATGTGCATATGTGTGTACACACATTGTTTTTCCTTAAAAAAAACTCCCTCTCTTTTTAGTTAGGCATTTATCACATTCTTAGCAGATCGAATGTATAATAAATTTGAATTTCAAGTTTGTGATTAAAACTTTTTCTGTGCTATGAGAGAAGATCTTTTGCCCTCTTAGATTCAAATATGGTGATCCAAGAGGTTTACATAGTTTTGAAGAAAATTATGTAAGATTTTTTAAAAAACACTTTTTCAATAAAATTTTTAAAATATTGTTTCAATCCCGGCCATAGTTAATCGTTTATTTTATTTCTTTTGTTCTAGTTCAAATTTATTCATCATTTTTTTTTAAAAAAACAAGACTTTACTCATATGCCCTTTAAATTAATACTTGTGTTTGCTTGATTTAGCATTCCACAAATTAAAGAGAGTTTATTTTAATCTAGGGCTTGTGGTTTCCTTAAGGTCAAATCTCTTTTTGAGAGAAAGAATGTGGTGTTTAAATTATTCAGTCAAATTGGAGGCTATAGGCTTTCGGAAAATTAGATGTCTCATGTTTGTGCTTTTAAAATTCAACCAAAAAAGATAGGGTTGTCAGTATAAAAGTTAATGCACAGTGTGGATTTTTAAAACATTATTGGGATGGGTGTTTTGAGGAATTAATTTGCTGAAATTGTGTTGTGCCTTAGTGCACTGTACTACAATATTACCATTGTGAAGTGTGCATTAAATAGTTCCTGTCAATTATGGTTGGCTGTGAATGAATCCAAGGGTTCCTTTTGTTGTAAATTACTATTTCCTAAAATGCTTTTGCAGAGAAGCAATGGAACACTTTTAGATTTGGAATGTTTGAAGAGCTGTTCTTGCCAGTGGTTGATTTTGAGCCAGCTCCAATGTTTATAAGAACTCATAAAACAAAGCAAAGTGAGGATGGCCCATTTGCTGTTACCCCATGTTCCTCCCACTGAAATTTCTCCTTCCTTTCGTAGTGATGCCTTTACACTTAACTCATCCCAGTCGGCAGGTTGATAGCTGCATGGCCCATATCTGATAATTAGCTGAGCTTTTGCTAGAGCCCCATCCCCGTTTTGAGCATGCAACATTAGCACAAAAACTACAACACTTTTTTAGCTGCGAGCAAATTCCAGGTTCCTTAGGTGGGGTCATAGGAGAAAGTATAGTTTAAAATGACAAAAGAAAGGTGGAATAAGCATCGTATATACTGTGAACTTGAAGCTAGAGGAAGGGTTATGAAATATTTCCAGGTGCATTGTATGAATTTACAGAAGATTCTTTTTGCTGTAGTTAGTTGTGACCCAGAGTGCTGCTTGTGAATTTGGCAATTTCCTAGGCTATGCCAGTAGTTCTCTGGTCGTTTAAGAGAATAGATCCTTGGAAGATGACCCCATGAAAGTTGGATATTTTGCCATGATGGTTGTGATATTTCAGCACATCAGAATTCTGCATGTTGCTTTGGGGTTCTTTGTTTTGCATTTCTGTTCATCTCTTCTTTCTGTACTCCTTACGGGCTTGCCCTTCTTCTGTTTTGCTGTTTAAAAATAACTAGAGGACCAATGGAGGTTTTGCCAGAGGCCCATGGAAATCTGACCATCAAATAAACTACATTTTGTTGTTGCTGCTGATTTGTAAAATGAGTTCTCCACTGCAACAGGCAGAAGATACTGCCAGCAAGTTCTGATCACCAGCACCTCCTTGCTTCAACAATTCCCAGCAGCTCGTGTGATAATGGGGCCATCTTTATGTAAATGTGTGCAATAGTTTATTTTTCCAAGAGGGGTTTGCAGTTCTGACCTTGACTTTAAAGGGGACTTTTCTGAGTTGAGGGAGGAGTCGCTGGATGGGAGAGAATTTCTGCAGGAGAAAACAAGTGGTAGATCATCTCAAGATGGTTGTTGCAACCACACTTGCATTTGGAGGTTAATTTAGAAAAGAAAAGCAAGGCTGGACATCAGAGTAGGGACTGCAGAAACTGGGCTGAGCTAATTATTTCAAACTGGCCTTTCGGGGCAACCTTGGCACAGATTGGCCATGGAAGGGTCTGGGCATCTGGCCTGTTGAAAGCTGTGACTGGTAGGAAGCAGCACCTCTGCCAGGCAGTGGAGGGGGGGGGAGGGGAGGGGAGGGGAGGGGTGAGAGCCCATGATGGGGCCGCAGTCTGTGGTTTATTTTGGCTTAAAAAGAGAGAAATTATGCTCATGTACTCTGGAATCAGTTGGACACCTTTAATTTTCTCTACACTTCCTTGGCCACACCTCCTTTTTTTGTTTCATTTTTGCACATCCGAAGGCCTCAGTCTTTTAGCTTCCTCCTGTAGACTCTTGGTTATTTAGGAAGGAACATTTCAACCCAAGAGGAATTGTCAAGAAATGGAACTTATGCGCATAGACTCAGCCCGAGAAGGGCCATTCGTCTCAGCCCAGAGGTAGGAGGGAGCCGAGGTGGTTTCCTTGCAGGAGTGATAAATCTGCCACCAGATGTCTCTGTAGCCCACTCTACAAGAATGTTAACCAAAGGCTGGAGTCTGAGCTTCTGGGTGACCTTGCGGTGCATTCCTAAATGAATAAATGAAGCAGAAATGACTGATAGTGTGTGTGTGTGAATGTGTTTTCTTTCCTGAGCTGCTTCGGAGGGTGTTCCTCTCCTTCCTTGGTTATCTGTTTCCCTGCATGGAGTTCCTTTCCAAAGTCAGAGAAGAGTTACAGGGTGCTCCCAGAATAGGAGATGAAGCACTAGCAAGTGCAGGCAAAGAGAGGGGCAGTAAGACCTGCTGATCTCTGTCTCTCTCCGCAAGGTGACGCTTGCAGTTATAATGCTGGGGTCGGGTAAGGAATGCCACTTAATCCTGGGCTTCCAGTTGGTCCCCAGTCAACCAGCAAAGGGCAGCTCAGGTGCAACCAGGGAACGCCGATGTTGAAGGGCTGCCCATGAGCACTGAAAATAAGGATTTGCCTTTAGAACTTTTCCGTGGAGAAGCAAGGTGAGTTAATTAGGCAAATTAAAAATATGTCTGGGGAGGAGAGAATTGATGGTGAATGCGGTGTATGCCTAATCTTTAGAGTGGGAGATGTGGAAAACACCCTACCCGTTTAGTCACAAAGATAGTTCAAGGAAAGAAAGCCAGCTAGAATAATTATTGAGCTCAATTGAGCATTTACCTTGGTCAGGCTAATCCGTCCTAGGTACAGTGAATTAAACTGTGACTGCCCTTCCATGTGGTGTGCGATATGACCATCAAGTGATCTGGCATGTGCACTCTCCACAAAACACTCTTTTAAAGCTGTCTTCCTGTCCAGTGTAGAGAAAAATTATGGCACATTCGGCAGCACTGGGCATGACCCCACAGATATACAGCCTTTGAAGAGCAAGGCGACTGTTTACAAAATAGGAAACTATGCTTTTTGCTTAACTTTCACTCAACATTTGTTAAGGGCCAAGGCTAGAAATGACAAAAATGTTGCCATAGAGCCCCTGATTTTGCACAGTAGCTATTTTCTCCTTCTGTCAGCTATCCAAAAGCAGTCAGAAGCAAGGTAATATTCTTATACTCACATGAGCACAATCACTGTGTAAGGGGGCAATGTATTTCAGTGGATGGCTGGTATCTGAAGAAAACGAGAAAGTTTAATACAGAACAAACTGCAACAGAATAAAAGCCAACATGATTCATACTCAACACATCACCATCATCAACAGAGACACTCTCTTCTTTCTGTGGGTTGGAAGTTGGGATATTAATGACAGTCATGAGATACAGTCCTGATGTTATTCCAAAAAAGATATAGCCTTGAGGAACATTCGTAGATTCTCTCCTTCTCCCCTAAAGGCTCACATACAAAAAGGCACAATATCTTGTTTTAGAAGCAGTAGTTTAGGATGGATTTTATGAAAACAAGGTGGAAAACCTTGCTGTCAAGTTCCAGTACTTGCGGTGGAGTGTGATGTGCTATATGACTCCTTCTTCACAGCTGACGGAGGGTGGTGAAGAGAGGATGGAAGCATCCCAGGAAGATCTGCACCTCAGGAGACAGCAGTATCTTCAGGAGGGACAGAATAGCTCTTTCCAGGCCCGTGGTGAAAAACCCTATTCCCTGAAGATCCGAAACACTACCAGCTGTAACTCGGGGAGATACAGGTGTACCCTGCAGGATCTGGAGGGGCAGAGGAACCTAAGTGGCACAGTCATCTTGAGAGTGACAGGTGAGGTGACCTGTTTTACTTGTTTTCTTCTTGCAAAAGGTCTCTTTTGGAGTCTAATTCTACAACTTTGCACATCTGTGGCTAACAGCTGAATTCTGATGCAGGAACGTCATAACTTTTTCTTTCTATAGCTTAAACTATGCCCTTTGTTTGACTTTTGCTCAAGATTGTTAAGGGCTAATACTGGAAATGACAAAAATGTTACAGAGCCCTGATCTTGCGCAGCAGCTATTTTCTCCTTCTGTAAGCTATCTGAGTGCAATCCGACACAAAGTAATATCCTCATGCTCATAAGGGCGCAGTCATGTTTAAGGGGGCAGTGTTGCGTTTTACTCAGGTCACACACCCTCCCACCTCTTAGACTGTCCTCAACCTCCAGTCCTGACCCTGGTTTCTTTGTCTCTATGGCATTTAGTACAACTGACATGTTGTGGTGTATGGGCTGGTGTACTGAGCCTCAGAGCCTTCGTCTCCTCTCTGCTCTGAAGATTTGGAGAGATGCTGTGAGCACATCCTGTTGCACACAGCAGGGCACAGGGTGACCATGAGCATGGGTGGCTGCTGCTGTCACTCTGACTGTCACTGTTCTTCCTGACAGCACAGATGTAAGGATAGGAATGGGAGACAGGCGGGACTTTAGGATGGAGGAGCAGAGTATTCGTACCTTTTCGTCGTGGTCGGGAAAGCCTGTTAAAATGACTTCATTTTTTTTCTTCTAAGGGTGCCTCACGGCACACAAAGAGGACAATTTTAAGAAACACAGAGCCGAGATGGCTCTGCTGCTGGCTCTGCTCGTTTTCTACTTAGCACTCATCATTGCCACGTGTGTAAGTGTCCTTTTAAAACCGCTGTTACTATGAAAATTCCGCCTCGGGGCACCAAGCCAGATGCATTTTGTAGATACTGTGAGTCGTCGTAGATACTGTGAGTCGTCTGATGACGGCGAGGGAGTTCATTTTTTGAGCCCTGGACTTTTTGAGGCCCCTGGACTAGGAGAGTCGTTACAGGACCCTCCCTGAAATATTTCCAGCTCGTTTTGCATCTAGTGGCTACACACAGAGCATTGTGGGAGAAAAACGAAAATGTAGGAAGGAGGTTTGAGATATTCCAAAGGAGCCCATGGAAGACCAGGGGCCTTGTACGTCCAGTGCTAGAAGTGGCAACTCTGACCATCTGCCATGTCAGGGCAGATGTGTGGTTCTTCCTGTGGGCGAGGGAGCAGACCTCGCCACTTTAGGGACAGAGCTGTCTCCTTTGCCTGTCCTTGAGGCATTTTCTCATGGGGGTTCTCTGATTATCTTTTTGTGCTTCTACCTGTTCCTTAAGAACTAACCCCAAGAAGCAAAAGCAGTGGGGCACAAGGAGGATCCTCCCAGGGTAGAGGATATCTGGCCTGTGCTTGGGCCTCCTAGACATGCCCTTGAGTTATTGGTGGCAGGCTCCAGCTCAAAGGCTCCTGAGCCTCTTTCTGCATGACGGCTCACCTAGGCTGACCACTGGTCGTGGGAGAATAAGGCTACCTGTGGGTGTAAGACACTGCTCCTGCCCTCCAGGGGCTTGCAGTTTGGTTTTAGGGTTATTTGCACATAAGAAGATAATTAGAATTAACAGCCAGTACATTGAAAAATGAGTGACTTTAATTTCTTGTTGGCAAATGCCTGTTTCTATGGGCACTAGCTTTCCATGCAGATGTCTAACAGTAGGGTCTTGAAATGGTTGCAGTCTGTAATCAGTGAATCAATGACATGGTGCAAGTCTCTTGTAGAGCAAGTGAGGCAGCGAGTATACCAAAGGCTTTCAGAATGACTTGTCTGACCAGCTCTTAGTGAATGGAGTTTAAATGGAGGCGACAGCTGCTGCATTTTTTACCAGTTATTCACTTCCTTTTTCTTTCTTTTTTTTTCAGAAGTTTGCACGACTACAGAGTATTTTTCCAGATTTTTCTAAACCTGGCATGGAACGAGTTTTTCTCCCAATCACCTCCCCAGATAAGCATTTGGGGCCAGTGACTCTTCACAAGGTAGAACTGGTGTGAGCAGGAATTCTGCAGGTTGTTTTCCCTGAAGTCGGGGTTCAGTGGTGTGCCTGCCTGTCACACTGGATGAGAGAAAAATGAGCCCCATGCTGAAGATGGCATCCTCTCTATGAGTTCTTCACCTGACTGAAAACGTCAGAAAGCGGATCCCACTCCAGTTTCTGCGAGCAGGGCCTTGACACCATCTACGTGACTGTATATCATGGAGCCACTGCTATTTCTCCATGGCTATCATTTCAGCGAACCTCCTAGATACTTCTTCAGTCATATAAAAGCTATGGGAAATATGAATGCCACCAGCTGGTCCTGTGACAGACTCCTGAGGACAGCTGTCCTCTTCCACATCTGGGGAACATCACTTTGAATTTGCTGTGTTTTGTTATATCAGCCCAGATGTTTTACGTCTGGGAGAAATTGACAGACCAAGCTGTGAGACAGTGGGAAATATTTAGCAAATAATTTCCTGGTGTGAAGGTCCCGCTATTACTAAGGAGTATTAGTGTATGAAGAAATAACAGGTCGATGAACTATTTCCCAGCAGGGTCTTTTCATCTGGGAAAGACATCTATAAGGAAGCAATAAAGAAGAGCGCTACACTTATTTTTATATCTATATATACCTGTCAAAGAAGAGTTTGTTTTTCTCCTTTTGAAATCTCTGTCTATAGTTAGATAGCATGGTGAACTGACAAGCAGCCTGGATATGGAGAGTGAGAAGTCGGCAAGGGTGACAACAGTATAGAGAGCTAGTTAGTGACCTGCCGGAAATGCCCGGCCACTGGGCAGCCAGGGTGCTATCCCCAGATGCCCCTCTACCTGGATGTATGGTCTTGGCCAAGTTCCTTATGGATTCTACTTTCTCACATGGGCTGATTTAAATAATATATGTGAGCATGCTTTGAAAAAGTATAAAGCACTGTACAAATTCGAAACTCTATTGGGTCATTATCCTTGCTGTTACAGTGGTGTTCAGGGGTGAGGGAATGCTGTCCATTTCTTATGTTTTCCATCATTCTGAGCAAGGAAGTTTACCAAGAAGACTTTCCCATAGTCTTGTATATGAATTTCCTTGGGGAAGTGAAGAGGCCAGTTTCATGGTCTGTTCTTGAAGCTCCAGCCAAAATCACCGAGATGTGAATGTGTGGGAGCCACTGAGCCACTTCACAAAATGCTGCATTGATGTTTTGGTAATTGTTTGGATGTCTCTTATCAAACTTGGCCTCTCCCTTACTACTTGTTTTCCAAAAAGATTTTATCACTTTAGTGTATGTGCATTGCTCCCACTAATATTAGAGAGTACAAGTGACACCAAGCTGATTTAGCATTTTTGCCTCTGCCATGGCTTTCATGCTATTAAAGGTATGCATGTGAATAGGGAGTGTTTTTCTGTTTTGTATTTAACTCTACTCATAAGATTGTGGGATGAGCACTAGAATGTCTATTAACTAGTTTGAGAACCAGAATCCAAAATAAAGCTGAAAGATTGGCCAAGTCCTTCTCTGAGAGGGAGGATATAGCTGACAGGTAGACCTCTGTACACAGCAGCCTCCTTTCCAAAGATCCTCCCAAACCCATCTTGGGTCTGCGTGGCCACTTAGTACATAACCAGCTTGTATAAACACATATGGCCACAGGTGGGAGGAATGGCGGGAAGGAGGGTTACTGCTTCAGAACGATGCATAAAGTCAAGCGCTTTGTGTCTGTTATTCATGGGGTTTCACTCAGGATTCTCAAATAGATCCCTTATCCCCCAAATTATAAGAACAATCTGGTACAAATGGCTATAATAGTTATAAAAGCATCATAGGTGAATGGTTCTTTACAAAGATAAATGCACATAAAATGTCTCTAAAAGCTGTAGATTCCCTTTCAGTGGAATCAAGCCCATTCTCAAATGTGTTACCTAAAGTGCCAGAGAGACTGTCTGGCATGGTAATTAAGAGCTCAGAAAGTTCTTATTCCCCTGAGTTTGTAGCCCAGCTTCATGGGTTGGAAGCTGTACCACCTTGGATACAGGACTTACCTCTTTAAGCCTTAGTTGGCAGATCTTTTTTTTTTTTTGGAGTTAGAGTCTCACTCTGTCCCCAGACTGGAGTGCAGTGGTCGCTCCTGGTCACTGCAGCCTTAACCTGCTGGGATCCGGCGATCCTTCCGCCTCAGCCTTCCAAGTTGCTGGAACTACAGGCACACGCTACCATGCCCGGCTAATTGTTGGTTTATTTTAGAGATGAGGTCTCACCAAGTTGCCCAGGCGGGTCTCGAACCCTCGGGCTCAGGCAATCCACTCACCTCAGCCTCCCAAAGCGCGGGATTACAGGCTGAGCCACCGAGCCCAGCGGCAGATCTTTAAAATAAAAGTAGTATCTGCCTAATAGGTTTATTGTGAGGATTAAATAAGATAATATAAGGAAGGGCTAAGCATAGTGTCTAGCAATTAGTAAGCCCTTGATTGGTATTAGAATAAGAAAGTAGAAAAAGGGAGCAGAGAAAGTGTCAGCAATCATGAATGTCTGACAAGGTGGTTTTGTTCAAAGGAATGAATTGACTTGTGGGGGAACCATATTTATTGCCTTTGGGGGATTAACACACGATGAACTAAATTATTCGTGACCACTAGAATTACAGTACACAAGAGACCAGGAGAAGGGTTGCCATTTGTCAGGTTGGGCTGACTTTAGCTAGAAACATGATGGCAATTTGAGAGCAAGTAGATTCAGCATTTTTCAGACCTAGTCTTTGGTATAAGAAAAGGTGTGTGTGTATATGAGAGAGACACAGAGAGAGAGAGAGAGAGAGAGAGAGAGATGAGACAGAGACAGAGAGAAGAGAGAAAGAAAGACAGAATTTATCAAGGAGATTGAACTGGTTTTCTACTGCCTTGACTGAGGCCTAACAAGATATTTCAGAGGAAGGAAGATGATCGTGGACTATATTCTTCATCTCCACTGCTGGGGAAAGCTTTGTTCTCAGAACCCCTCCTCGTCTGTGGAATTAGATCTACTAATTATGTTTTGATAATTTCACCTTGGGATGTCCCAGTACACAAAGACATGAATATCAGTTCCAAGGTCTTTCAAAAGAAAGCCTGGGTGTTTTTTGTATTTCTGATAATACTCTGCAGGTCTCCTCATAGAAAATACTGAGCCACAATCACAAAATCCATCAGAGCCTCTCTATTTGCTGGGATTGCCAGAGAAGAGCTACAACAGCCATCTGTGGTTATAGAGTCAGCAAAGTGAGGCCAGGAGTTTAGCCTCGCAGCCTGATGAGAGTTGGGAGTCTTGGGATAATTCATTCTGGTTCCTCAGCCCTTTCCTCACTGGAAATTTTATTTGGTGGCATTAACTGGGTTATTTATTGCTTAATACTTCATTTTTTGCCTATGGAAAAATAGTCAAAGACCTAAAAGTCGTAGGATGGGAGTTGTCTGCTTAATTCACCAGCAATTGTCCCTCAAAGTTTTGTAACTGATTGATTGCAGAGCCTGGTTTGATCTAATTCATTGGGAAAATGCAATCAATCAGTGCTTTGGTCACAGTCTACTATTGTCATTTATTGTCTTCTGAAGATTAGATGTGCTTATTTTCTAATTTTCACCCTTTAAATTGCACAAAAAAATTAAGATTCTGTCCCCTGCCTTTAGTAGTGTGTGCGTGTGTGTGTGTGTGTTGAATGGGTGAAATTAAACACAAGTACAAGTATATTGGATGAGCATTCACTCTGGACAAAATTCTGTCTAATCCCTGTGTGCAGTACTTAAGATGGCAAGACACAATCCTTCCTTTCAAGGAACTTACAATCAATCGAAGGAGAGACAAGCTCAGAGCTGCACGCACGGTTACTTGTCTTACTTAATAGGAAAAAGGTATACAAAAATTAATGAGAACATAGAAAAAGGACTGTGGGAGTGTCCAGATTCTTCTGGGAGCAACTTGGAAAGCTTTGCAGAACTGATTCCATTTGAACTTGGTCTTGAAAAGCAGGAATTTGGTAGGGCTAGAAAGGATGGTGGGAATGGCAAGGACACAGTCTCTAAGGCAAGAAAGTTGGGAGCAGGCTGAACAGAGGTCAGGTGGTAGTCCATGCAGGTGTAGGGTGCGTAGAGCCCAGGCAGAGGTGGAAGGAGATAGTAACAAAAGATGGGCACGCTGTTGTAGAGTTTGTACAACATTGAAGGATTCTGAGTTGGGGAGCTGTATCGTTAGGACCGATTTTAGGACGATAATACGGAAAATAAAAGAAAGGGTGAAGTAAGAGCTGGAGGAGATGGGAGATAGGAAGTCCATATAGGAGACTGAGGGGAAGCTAGAAGAAGCTCCACATCAATGCCAACTGGCTCCTACATGTTTTCTTTTCGATTTTCAGTCTTGGGTTTTCTTATGATTCTAGCAGCTGTACATATGTTTTTGTTATTATTTTTAACTTGGGCCTCCTTTCTTTTTTAAAAATAATAGAATGCAAAGATAAAATCTATCCCTTCCATCTTTACCTTTATCCAAGAGGCAGAAGCTAATCACCATAAACCACAGAAAATGTTCCCCGCGTCTCACAACTGTCACTATAGCCAAGAAGACTTGCTGCTGCAGCAGTTGTGGGCAGCTTTTGTGTTTCAGGTTAATTTTGTCCCTCTTCACGCCCACTCCTGCGGCAACGTCCCTGTCCCAGGAGAATATTCCTGGGTTTTCTCTTAGATAATCCAGTGTTATATCTGGTCAGTGATTGGCAGGCGTATAGTTGGCATCATCTGAGCTCTTTTGGTTTATTTGTTCATGTGTTTACAAAGATATAACTAAGATTTGATTATTTCATTGGTTCTTTGCTTTTGTATTTTTGTCCAACTGATTACATGCTACACAATTGCTCCTTAGCCATTTAAAAAAAATAAAATCTCCCAGTGGTTGACTGACTAACAAACACAGCTAACAAAGCATAATGGCAAAGCAAAAGATACCTTCCAGGAGCGTGATGGGCTGTGCATGGCCAATGTGGAATGGGTATGAATACGTCTTAGAGAAAGGGAAAATGAGGCCATATAACATTGTTTATTGCCTCAGTGCCTGATAAATCACACACGAGTCCCACTCTGTCCTTCAGAAACAAGGCATTCCACTTGCAGACATACCTTTTTTTTCCCTTCCACTTCTTTATTTCATTCTCCCCATGGGATCTCAGACAGCACACAGTTAGGTAACAAAGAACTATCGGGAAAATATCATCTAGGCGGGTATATTTGTTTCCATGGTTCCTGAGAAGTTAGGGTGAAGGAAGGAGGCGAAACTTGGGCACTGAAGGCAAATCTTCTATTCTTTTCTTCTTTCAATGCATAAACACGTACAGTATCCCTAGGGAAAGGAAGAGAGACCTCACTTAGTGTTTCATTGAGATTCTGCATGAGAAGGAGATACTGTTTTATTCTTCATTATGAGAAGGGCTATTTTTTCAAATTGACCATTTTCCCCTCTCACTCTTTGCCAAAGTAGCCTGTTTACATTCTACTCTTGCAGATTACAGTACTCAGTATACAAGTAGAGAGAGATTCAGACATTGAAAAGCTTTGAGACATCCCACAGAGTTGGAATGCTTTTTCCAAAGGGGGAAAAAATCTGCAAATGTGTATGTACTTGCCCATGTACCCGAAAAAGCCAGCTGGACAGCCCTTAAACAGCTCTTATTCAGGAACAACAAAAGCCCGTGTCAGAAGTCAAGGGACAGGAGGCTGAGAACTAATAATAATTTTGCACTTACACAGCAGTTTTCATCAGAAGACCTCAAAGTGCTTTATAAACATTAATTAAATTGCCCAACAGCCCTGTGAGATGGCTGTGTATCACTATTTTCAATTTGCAGGGGGTCTAGGAAGGAGAAGTGTATGCACAGAGGGAAGTTGGAACCAGGCCATGCTCCAATGCCTGTGAATTGTGTCCCAGAAAAAGCAGTGGGAACTTCTCTCTTGTGAGTCCAAGGCTGTGGTCAGGTGTACGTGGTATCTGCCGGACCCAGGATATGATCAGGTGACTCACTCCCCAGCGGGACCCACCTTATGCATAAAGTGAGCCGACTGCCTGCATTGGGGCTTGAAGGGTGCTGGTACAATCTCTTCACAAACTCATCACCATGTGCCAGACTGCTATTGTTACAGAATCATTCTTTTAGCAAGACTCGTGGTGGACAAATTAGTTTCACCTCAGGTGACATCTGACTGCTAGTAGGTACAGCCAGGCCAGCTGCCTGGAGGATGGTGATGTCTAGTGTGCTCAGCAAAATATGCCAGGATCGATTATGGAAGACCACCCTGCATGTCCAGAAAGGTAGTTGTTGTGTGTTGAGTTGTGTCCTCCACAGAAGACATGCTGAAGTCCTAATCCTTGGTAC